CCAATTAAGACTTGAAGAATATAAAACTTAGGTAGAGTATTATTTATTAAACATTAACAGACAATTTAAAAAATTGGGTTAATTTACTGAAGAATGCAGTATTCATAAGTAAGACATCTCTACTGTGTGTTGAGATCAACAGCTATCTTACCTTTTTAAGGTGTTAGCAGAGAAAGTTCACATGAGAGCGATGACCATTGCTCAGAGAGTACTGCTTCTTCAGCAAGGTCTTAATGACAGATCAGGTAAGAGTAACATCTTTGTAAGCATTGGATTTGGAAGTTAGACTTAAGTTTAATAAAACGGGTATTTCCATATGTCTTATGAAATATTTTGGGGTTAAAACCTTGGTATTTTGAAGGATCAAGGTATTTCTTTCATGCTTCTGTGCTTTAGGGAGGGGAAGACTATTCTAAAGTCCATGTAGTTACTTCTGCAAAAGTCTCTTAGAATCCTTGTGTTTACCACATCTTTCTCAGGCAGTGCAGTACTGATCTGTTTTTCTATAACTTAACTTAAATGTGCTCTGTGCATCGGAACGATGAGGAATGAGCAGGCCACTGTCATGTGCCACCCTCTCATCTGTTAAAGTATAGAATCTGCTTATAGGAAGAATGTTCTAAGGATTGTTGACTCTCATGAAGCCATTTAGTTTCAGTTTTGCTGTACCAAGAAAGCAAACTTGAACTTTTGAGTATTGTCAGAAGATTGAGTAGGATACCCTTAAATCAGCAGCTCTCAACAAATGACACTTACACAGGGTATGCCTAAGACTATAAAAAAACACAGATATAATTCACAACAGTAGCCAAATTACAGTTAAGAAGTAGCAACAAAAATAATTTTATGGTTGGGGTCACCACACATGAAGAACTGTATTAAAGGGTCACAGCAGTGAGAACCACTGTGTTAAATGAAGTGTGTTGTGATTCAATACTGTGAATAGAGTTCATGTGGTAGATAGAGTCGGTCAACAAATACTAAATTTTAATATTCTGATATGCATGATGTTCAGAGAGGAGACAAGAATTTTTCATTAGGCTATATATAGGAGTTAGTTTTTTTTTTTTCTGAACTCCCACTTGTATTTTGAAATAAGCATTATCATGACTTGAGTAATACTGTGTCTTGTTCCATAGCATGCTTTGTTCTGCCTATTATTTACTTGTATTGTAAAATCAGTGTTTACAATGATTTAATAAAAGTTAGTTAAAATGGGGATAATCTAGGAGAAAAAGTTCTAGGCTGTGCTTTATTTACCTGTTTTAAATGACTCACCAGGTCCTGTGAAACAAGCAGTACAAAAGCATCTTCTCCAAGGGTGGTTGCAGTTCACTGAAGGAAATATCTTAGAGTTGCTTCATCGATTAGATGTTGAAAACTCTTCTGATGTGGCCGTCTCCGTTCTCAATTCCTTATTCTTAACGACTACCCTCAGTGAGCTGGTGGGAATTTGTAAAAATGATGATGGCAGGTATATAAAGACTTCATTATTTAAATTGTACAAGTTTTATAATTGAACTTCTGCAATTAAAATTAATTTTTCTCCCTGCATTTTCAGATTTTATCAGTGCCTTTTATTGGTCCCTCTTTTCTTTGATGAATGTCTTTTTTTTCCCTCTGGTACAAGAACTCTTTAGTTTTTGTCAGATATTACTTCAGTTGTGCCCTTTCATTTGAAATTTTGATTTTTATACTAAATCTACTGTGAAAACATTCCCAAATACACATTCTTGGCCACCTTAGCTTTTTTGCCTTTTCTTAGTCTAAGGATTTTTTTTTCCTCCATTATTTTTTGGGTGGGTAAATTAATGACTTAGTAATTGAAAGAAATCTGCATCTTATTTTTCCATTCTTATTCTGTTTTTCAACTGCATGTAATGGTAATTCTTATTCTCTTCTAAATGAAGGAAGTTGATTCCAGTGGAAACATTAACTCCTGAAATTGCTTTGTACTGGCGCACTCTTTGTGAATATTTGAAATCAAAAGGAGATGAAGGTGAAGAATTTTTAGAGCAGGTTTTGCCAGAGCCTGTAGTATATGCAGAGTATTTACTAAGGTAAATTTTTCTTATGTTGTAACTTAGGTCAAACTGTATTATGTTGCTCTATATACTAATTTCATAGTCCTCTTATTCAGAATCATTAGGTAGAGTATTATTTATTAAACATATTATTTAATAATTTAAAAAATTGTAACAATTTACAAACAATTTTTGTATAAATAAGCATAAATGGGTCTGTTAATTGAGTGCTTCTGAAGAATCTGTTGTGTGGTATACTGAAGTGTACAGAGTCAAGGTCTTAATATTCCTGTCACAACGACTGTATTAGCAGCTGATTAGTGTGACTTTTCCCTGAAAAATAATTCACTGGTGTTTTATTGAATTTTATCTAATATTCATATATAACAAAATTAAAAAAATATTCTTTGTAAGCTGTACAAAAACAGGTATGATGGTTAGATTTGGTACATGGAAGTTTCAGATCATAGGGTAGAATGTATGGCCAATTTTATTATACTGTAAGTCTATTTCAATTAACTTAGTAAAAATGAAATAAAACATAACTTTAAAGTTTTATTTTTCTAAATTATCTGTCTTAATATATATGATGGCCAATTTTATGTCAATTTGACACCAGCTAGAGTCATTTTGGAAGAGGGAAACTCTCTTTGGACAATTTCCCCCAATAGATTGGCATGTGGGCAGATCCATTTTCCTTACTGATGGTTGATTTGAGTGAGCCTAATTCTCTGTGGGTGGTGCCATCCTTGGACTGGTGGTCCTGGGTTCTTTCTATAAGAAAGTAGACTGAGCAATCATGGGGATCAAGGAATAAGCAGCACTCCTCTATGGACTGCATCAGCTCCTGCTTCCAGGTTTCTGCCCTGTTTGAGTTTCTGACATGACTTCCTTTAGTGATGGACTGTGATGTAAAAATGGAAACAAACCATTTACTCACCCAAGTTGGTTGTTGTGTTTTATTACAATAGAAACTAAGAAAATTCAGCTTAATTCACTGTAAATTATATTTAAAAATACATATTCTTGTCAGAATTCAAGAGGTAAATTTATTCTTTGCTTTCCCAGTCCCAGCAATCATTGTAGACTTAACAGGTAAATAATTAAAAATGTGCATTTTCAAATCTTTGTTGAAAATATAGCATATTATACATATATCCTGTTTTTTTGAACTGTATGTAAAATCAGTATGTGTTGGTATTACACTATTTTATATTGCCTTGTGTGTGCTGTATAAATGCTCTTCCACTCAGTTACATCCACTTTATTCTGATTGGTTTAGCTACATCCAGAGCTTCCCAGTAATTAGTGAAGAACAGAGAGGTGATTTTACCTACATTGGAAATTTGATGACAAGAGAATTCATAGGTCAGCAATTGATTCTAATTATAAAGTCTTTGGATACCAGTGAAGAAGGAGGAAGGTATGTTTAAATAAGCATTTGATAATTTCCTTTAGTTTCATTTATTTAGGAGCCTACTTTGGTGTACTTTTTAGAAGATAATTCTGGTATTTCTTTTACTGTAATTACAGTGATAAAGATGATATTATATCCTTTGATTAATCAGGTTTTCAAGACAGTTTTTATTTGATAATTTTATACATACAAACAATATATCTTGCTTATATCCACCTCAAGACTCTTTCCATTCCTTTTGACCATGAACTTGTTCTATTTTAAGGGCTCCTCCACCCCTTTTTAATTTACCTGAGCCCAGTATGCATTGTTTGTATGTGCATTGCTGTCTGGCCATCCACGAGACTAGAGGACAGCCTAGTACACCTCAGAAGAAAAATAATTCTCTCTCCCCTAGTTGCTATCAATTGCCAATATCTCCTCAGCTGGGGCGTAGGGCCTCAGGAGCCCCTATCCTATCCATATTGGAACGTTGACTGGCAGGTCTTGTGCAGTTAACTATTGTTATGAGTTGATAAGCATAACAGCCAGGACTTGTCTAGAGGATAGCATTATTACTCCTCCCTATCCTCTGGCTAATTTTCTATATTTAAATGTAGTTTTGTTATGATTAGATTTATTTACCCTAGCTCTCTAAAATTGCTAAAGGAAATTTTCTTTCCCTTTATATATATTGAAATATATATAGTTAATGTTAGGGTGTATTCTGAGAAGTGTGTTAGGTGATTTTATTGGTGTGCAAGCATAGTTATAAATTTAGATATTATAGATTAATTGTTCTTTGCGGTCGTTTGGTATAATTAGAAGATGATGAAATATGTATGAGGCTGCTGCAAAATACAACTTTTATAATAAATATTCTATACTCTACAATACTGGTAAAATATACTTTACAATTTACTCTACAATAATGGTAAAAATACATTATAAATACATAAACCAGTAACAGTAATTTATCATTAAGTGTGATGTGTTGTATATAATTGTATGTGCTATACTCTTATATGGTAATGTATGTTTGCATTGAAGTCCAGCATTACTAGGGCTACTGTATCCTTAGGCATTAGGTATTTTCTAGCTTCATTTTGATTTTCTGGGATCATCAAATACATGGTTTAATGTTTACTGAAACATGTGGCACATGATGGCATATATGTATGGATATATATGTATATAATCCTAGTATTACTACTTCAGAATAAGTAATTTCAGATTTTTTTGGTTTAAAATATTAATAGGTAGTGCTGTCTAGATGGTTTGATTCACCTGTTTGTTTTTTTTTCTGGAGGATCAGGATATAGAAGTATAATTTATAATGTGTATTATAAATTTGCAGACTATGAGTTGTTTTTTTTAACCTAAAGTCTGTATGTATGGAGTTTGTACCTAAAGTTACAAACAAAAGTAAAAACTAAGACAAATGTAAAGGGAAATGTTAGGAAAAAAATGTATTTTTGTTGGCAAAGTCTCTCATTGTGTAAAGGTGCTTGCTTTTAAACTCTATGACTTTTCACTTGATCCTAAGAACCCACAAGGCAGAAGTAGAAAACTAACTCCTGCAATTTCTTCTCTGATCTCCACATTCAACCCCAGGCATGAGTGTGCCCACTCAGACACACACAGAAAAAAAAAAATTTTTTTAGTGTGTGTGTACTCACACACACACACACAATGTATTTTGTCAAAGTGATAGTTAAAATAGATCTTTTTTATTATAGGAAACGACTGCTGGATATTTTGCAGAAGACTCTTATTCTGCCTACAACCCCAATATCTTTGGTTTCTTTTCTTGTTGAAAGACTCCTCCATATCATCATAGATGATAATAAAAGGATACAAATTGTAAGTGCTTTTCTTTTTGATGAAGATAAGTTTGATCAGTGATATCAACAGGTCTTAATTTCTCTTTAGCATCCTTGTCTTTGATTGTATTAGTGTTTGTTTTTCAACATGTTGTAAAAATGAAAAAGTGTATCTTTCTCACACAGTGTTTAAAATACCTTCCTTCCTTAGCATGCCAATTACTTTGTTGGTCAGTGCGGCAAGTATGTGAGGAAGGAACAAGTAGGATGAGGTTTAATCATAATTATTGGGAACTAGTGTGTTGAAGTAAGGCTCAAGTTATGTATTCCTCAATTATGACTTTGGGCAATTTTTAGCCTGTTTTACTCGTCTGTAAATTACTAATGTAACCTTAGTTACTAATGCTCATAAAGTGCTTCATGAAAATGATTTAAATATGCTATAGTAGTTTCAGAAATGAGTTCTACCTCCCTCCTGAGGGCGGTCCTAGTTAGCAAAAAGAGACTTATATTAAATAATAAAATTAAGCAATTTGCTTGCTGGTTAGTTGAATGTTAGTTTTTCTAAACCTCTCCTTACACATTCAACCTTTCTATACCATTACTAGTTATTGGTTATCTGGGATTTGATTATTCTCCGATGGGAGGCAGCCCTTTCTGAACTTGTGAACTCCAAGTCACTCTGAAAGGAAAGTTATTATTGCTTATTATTACTTATATATTGTGTACCAAAAGATTAGTTCTTTATTATTCATTATCTGTCTGTCTGTCTGTCTATCTATCTATCTATTTATTTTTGTATTTTTTTTTCCTTTAGAACTGAGGAAGGAGTTAAGAATTTTAGGCAGAAAATTTTAAATTATAGAGAGTAATCTTAGGGTACAATATTTTATTTGTACTGCATTAGGGATAATTTTGTCGTTAGTATCAATGTGACTTAAAAATTTGTTGCTTTTTGTTTCTGGGTTACCTTACTCAGGATGGCCTTTTCTAGTTCCATCCATTTGCCTACAGATTTCATGATTTCCTTGTTTTTAATAGCGGGGTAGTATTCTGTTGTGTAAATGTACAACAATTTCTGTATCTATTCCTCAGTTGAGAGACATCTGAGTTGTGTCCAGATTCTGGCTATTAAGAATAAAGCTGCTATGAACATGGTTGAGCAAATGTCCTTGTTGTATAGTTGAGCATATTTTGGATATATGCCTAGGAGTGAAATAGCTGGGTCTTGAGGTAGCAGTGTTCCTGATTTTTTGAGAAAGCACCAGATTGATTTCCAGAGTGGTTGTACTCACTTGTAAGTGGATGTTAGACATATAATATAGGATAAACATACTAAAATTTGTATTCCTAAAGAAACTAAACAGGAATGAGGACCCTAGGGAAGATGCTTAACCCTTATCCAGAAGGGCAAACAGAGTGGACATTGGAAGTGGGAGAAAACAGGGAACAAGACAGGAACCTACCATAGAGGGCCTCTGGAAGACTACTGATCCGGGTATTGAAGCAGAGGCTGAGACTCATAGCCAAACTTTGGGAGTACAGGAAATCTTATGAAAGAAGGGGGAAATAGAAAGATCTGGAGGGGACAAGAGCTCCGAAAAGGAGACCATCAAAGCCAAAAAAAATCTGGGCCCAGGGTTCTTTGCAGAGACCAATACTCCAGCTAAGGACCGTGCATGGAAAGGACCTAGACCCCCTGCTCAGATGTAGCCCATGGTAGCTCACTCTCAAAGTGGGTCTCCTAGTAAGGGGAGCAGGGCCTGTTTATGACATGTACTCAGTGTCTGGCTCTTTGATCACCTCCCCTTGTGATCCCCAGGCCACAGAGGAAGACATTGCAGCCAGTCCTGATGACACCTGATAGGCTAGGGTCAGGTAGAAGGGGAGCCTCCTCCCCTTTCAGTGGACTATAGGAGAGTCATAGGGGAAGAGGGGCGAGTCTTACAGCCAGGATACAAAGTGAATAAATTGTGAAAAAATAATAAATAAAAATAATTTTGTTGCTTTTTAGTCAAAGAATACATCAGACTAGATTATTCAGTTTTATTGTTCAGTCTTTATATTAGTTGCTATTTTGTTGCTGTAACCAAATTCCTGTTGTAGTGGTTACTGATGTCAATTTGACATGATCTAGAATAAACTAGAAGACAAACCTCTGAGTATATCTTTGAGATAGTTTCTATGAGATAGTTTCTAGATTGGGTGAGTTTTGAGTATCACTATTTTATGGGTGTAGTTCTGACAAATGAGAAAGTAAACCTAGCATTTCTTTCTTCCTTCCTTCCTTCCTTCCTTCCTTCCTTCCTTCCTTCCTTCCTTCCTTCCTTCCTTCCTTTCTTTCTTCCCTCCCTCCCTCCCTTCCTTCCTTCCTTCCTCCCTACTTCTATAGTGCACTGTGGCTAGCTACTTCATGCTTCTTTTGCTGTTCCATCTCTGTAGTGGACTGTTAATTTCAAACTGTGAGCCAAAATGAATGGTTCCTTAAGTGGTTTATGTCAGAACAATGAGAAAAGTAATTAATACAGCTAGCAGTCAACTTTGACAGGAAGTAGGGAAGGAAAGAAAAGAGAGGAAGAGGAATGATTGCTTTAGTTTGAGGGTACAGTCTTCTGTGATTATAAACATGTAGTGTTGAGAAAAGTTCTAGCTATGGTAGACAGGAACATGACAAAATTGACACAATATTTTGTTCACAGGAAGCAGAGAGATGAATCTAGTGTTCAGTTAGATTGTTTTTTCTTTTCGCTTTCTTACTCAGCATAGTACTACAACTTGTGGGATGGTCATGCCCACATTTACTCTTCCTTAAGTTAAACCTCTCCAAAAACACTGGCATGTCCAAAGGTATGTCTCCTGAGTGATTCCAAATCCAGCTTAACCTTTACAAGCCATCTCCTGTCAAACACATCATTTTAAAATCACTTATTCCAGGCCGGCAGGCAGGCAGGCCACATTGATCTCTTATTTTTTCTCTAGATCGCTTATTACTGGGCTGTCCATTGGAAAGAGTCACCCTTGGGCAGTATCTGAAAACACCCTCAGATGACTCTCAGGTGATATCAAGTCCAATCTAATGCACAGTAAAGATGAACCAAAACAGTTTTTACTTAAAATTGTGTTGCAAACAGAATATGTATTGCTTAGAATTTGGTGTAGCAGTTTGTTATCATTTGCTGGCTTAAAGCATATATTACAGCATGTATACTGAATTATAACTTTATTAGGTCACAGAAATTATCTCAGAGATTCGTGCACCCATCGTTACTGTTGATGTTGACCCATCTGCTACAAGAAAGAAAGAACTCAAGGTACGTCTCTTCTGAATGAAAGAAGTGCCTTAGTAATGTTAATTGTTTTCCCTTGTATACTGCTTTGAAATGTTCTCATAAAGTAATTAGGTTTTACACTACAAGGGTTTGCAAATTGTTACCAGGGTATAACAGATTGCTGATCTTTGTTTCAGGAAAATAAGATCTCCTGTTTGACTGCTTAAATCCCAAGTCATTGAGAAATTGTGACAGATTTTCATGTTAATTCTTATTTTGTGTATATGATCAATTTCTATCTTTCTTTAGATGGCCGAAATAAAAGTTAAACTTATTGAGGCTAAAGAAGCTTTGGAAAATTGCATTGTTGTACAAGATTTTGATCAGGCATCAAAATTAAAAGAAGAAATAAAAACACTGGAAGATGCCAGAATAAACCTGTTAAAAGAAACAGAGCAACTTGAAATTAAAGAAATCCACACAGAAAAGGTACATGTCATTTTTCATATTAAATTTGAACTGGTATTCTCTCAACAAATCTTATTTTTTAAAATTTATTAAACTGCCAGAATGTATTTATTTTGAAGGGAGTTGTGACAGTACCATGAATTAAAAGGAAAAAATAAACTTTATTTTTAAAACTTTTTTTTTTTTCTTCATATTTTTAGACCTGTATTTGAGACAGTCTCACTATGTAGCTCTGGCTCATCTGGAACTCACTATGTATGCCACACTGGCATGAACTAGCAGATAACACACTTGTACATACCTGTTTGCCTCCGCCTCCATAGTGTTGGGATTGAAGGGGTATGCCACCACACCAGGCTTGACATTTTTGGACTTTGAAAAATAACTTTAATTTTTATAGCTAGGATTTGTTTGCTTGTCATACTAATCCCTAGGATTTGAATACTTTCTTCCTTCTAGGGAAACTAGTCTTCTAATGATTTACTTAGACGTTTTATTCATTTATTTATTTAATTTTTTGAATGATCTAAAAAGGAATTGTATTCATTTTTCCCTTTTGTGGGAGGTCTGTGCACTTTCTAATGCATGGAAAAAAATCTCTTTGATTAAGAAATACTTTGGAATTTAGTGTCTTCCTTGGTAAATGTGCATATCTGTGTTTTAAAAAAAAACTAAGCAACTTTGTTATTTTTTTAAAAATTTACATGTATTTTAAAAATTTACTAATGTGTGTGAGTGTTTGCTTGTATGCATGTATGTATGCTGTGTGTGTGCCTAGTGCCCTTGGAGGTCAGAAGAGGGCCTCCGGTCCCCAGAAACTGGAGTTTCAGATGGTTGTGCGCTGCTGCTGGCAGTGGGACCTGGTCCTTTGCAAGAATAGCAAGTGCTCAACACAGCAAGGTGACTCATCTTGAGTCATCATTCCAGTCACAGCCTTGTTATTTATTTTTAATGAAACACTTTATATTTAGTAGTATTTGAATTGTTTTTGTCTTTCAACTTAGTTGTTTGACAAATTAATCTCTTTAAAGGGTTATGCCTTTGCTCATGAATTTATTTTAGCACATGATAGAATGGTATCAATTTGTGAATTTTACAGTTTTAAAGGTCTTGTCTTTGTATTGAATATACTTATAATTGTACTTTGATTTAGGGAATGCTTAAGACAGTGCTGAATAGGAAGGGTTACCAGATATAAGAGAGTTTTAGAATTGATTGTGTATTTTTAACCTTTCTAGCCATAAATATATTTTAACATAACACTTCACTTTCCCAGTGATAATGACTCGTTTATTTTTATAGTATTACATATTTACAGTCTGTGGCTTATCCTAGGCTATCAAATTTGAGAAGCAAATTTAAACAAACTAAAAATAAAATTAAAGATTTTCAACTTAAATATTTGGACAAGTATGGTTTGAGTCAGAGGGAGAAGATCTGAGACAAGGCTGCCTTGGGTTATGTAAGTGAGGCTCTGCTTCAGAAATCCAAGGAATGGAGAGAAAACATAGTAATGAACTTCTTGCTTAGCACATGCAAGGCCCTATGTTTGATTCCCAGACCTGTCCTAACGCCACCTGACCCCCCAAAAGGTAAAGATTTGTAAAGTGGGTTTGCCTGATACGTAATCTGATTAATAACCTTCTTGACTTCCATTGAACATTGGGTGTCTTTTTGTCCTATTTGAGAGCTATAACTATATTGTAATATGAAAGATAATATGATCAGAAAACACAGTGCTACTTGTTTCCCCAGAGGAAGAAGTGGATTGACCAGAGTTGTGAATAAAATTGCCACGCTAGACTTTTTATTATTATGAGATGCTAGCTAAGAAAACATTTTGGAGGGATGGAGGAGGGTTTATTTTGGTTCATAAAATTTCAGAGGTTTCTCCGTATGAGAGGGCATTGCAGAACAGAGTGGCCCCTATCCTGACAAACAAGGAGCTGAATGCCTATGTGGTTTTTTTTGTTTGTTTGTTTGTTTTACATTTTCTTCCTTATATTCTTTTCAGGCCTCCACCCTGTGGGAAGATACCACTTGTATTCAGGGTGGGTCTTCCCTTTTTTCTTTTTCTTTTTTTTTAAAAAGATTTATTTATTATTTATCCAACACTCTGCCCGCACAGCAGATCTTACTATAGATGGCTATGAGCCACCATGTGGTTCCTGGGGATTGAACTCAGGACCTTTGGAAGAACAGTGAGTGTTAACCTCTGAGCCCTCTCTCTAGCCCCTTCCTTTTTTCTTAATTTTACTTGGAAACTTCCTCACAGACACAGCCAGTGGTGTGCTTTGCTAATGTTTACTAGCTGCTTCTTAGCCCAGTCAAGTTGTCAGTCAAGGTACACCTAATACTGTTGTAACACATAGTGTAACCTAACAAGTTAAAGGATTCTTCCTCATCCCCCTGTGGTACACAGGTCAGGTAATTACCTCCTCAAGCACTTTACAAACATTATTCTTATAGTCTCCAAGTCCCACTGGTCTTTCAAACCTAAATAATAGTTACTATAAATTTATACTTTTAATGTGCTTTGTTTTGTCTTTCCTTAATGAGTAGTTAAGGAAATGTTGATGTTATAATGGTATGTTTGATGGTCTAGAGCTTACTAAAAAGGTGCTTGCTGTGCTTTAAAGTTTCAGGTTTATATGGAGAGAGAATTGGAGAGGTACTAGGTAAATCAGAGGAAATGTTGAGGGCCAGATAAATGTAAAGCCTTGGGTAATCAGTATTAAAAAGTCTACCTTATTCAGAGATAGTGGTGGATACAGGAATATTTTAAAGAGTAGAATTGAATACTCTGCAATAGAAGGATTAGTATTTGAAAATAGATTAGAGAGTGCTAAAAGCCTACATAGTTATAATTCTTGGCAGACTTTTAGAAGTATGGCTTGATGATGGCATTGTGAACCAGATGATGGTGACTACGAGTGATGTATGTCAGAGATATTTAAGGTTTAGTAATAGGAAAACGAGAGAATCAAGAATTTCTTAGGTCTTTCTTGCTTTGGACAAATAGAGATAGATGGCCATGATATCAGGATGACAGAGGTCATGAGTTAGAAGTTTGGTAATGAGTTGGTTTCATTTGGGGTGTGTTGAGTTTGAGGAGCCCATGGAACATGTAAGAAGTGTATTGTGTTAATTGCAGTAGAACCTGAAAAATTGAAAATAGCTGGGTGTTATGTGACAAACTTTTCTTGGAGAGATGCAATGTATATCTCTACTCACCCCAGATACCAAAGTATGGGTACACCAAAGTCCAACTTGCTGAACCAATAGTTTTATTAGGGTTACTTACAGAAATATGAGTGAGGGGTTACTCATAAGAGCAGAAATGACTCAAAGGCATTACCAAAGTCCACTTCAGCATGGGTGTCAGCTCACAAAGCTGGGAACCTGGAGCACATTGTAGTCTGCAAATAGCTTAACAGGTTGGAGAATGTTTGCTTCAGGTGTCTCAGTTTAACCTTATTCCAGGTGGCTTAGCTGGTTTCTGCTTTCTGGAGGCTGTTCTGGTGTGAGAGTCTTTGCAGGTGGCACTTGTCTGAAAATCTCTTCTGCTTTTACTACTTACTCAGGCAGGAGAGGAGCCTAGAGAGTCTGGTCAGTTTTAGTGACTTCCTGAATCTATTTTGAGTTGTTAACCTTCCTAGTTAAGTAGCTTCCCTTTAGGATGGAATGTTTCAATCTAGGAGGAAACTGTTATAGAAATGAAAAATAGAGTTGCATTGTTGGTTAAGGTTGCCAAGAACAGAGAGTAATAGTATGCCATAAACAAGAGAGCAGTTGTTTAAGGGATGGGCAAAAGATAATCTTACTAATGATGGATATTTTGTTCTTAATTTTAGGATGATGCTGAAACATTACAAAAGTGCCTTATTTTGTGCTACGAACTGTTGAAGCAGATGTCTATTTCAACTGGAATCGGTGCAACCATGAATGGGATCATTGAATCTTTGGTACACGGGTGGCCACTGAGGCCTTATACTCCTACCTTATATATGATATGTTCATTAGGGCTCAAAATAAGTAAAAGACTACCATTTTAAACATCTGATAAGTACAAATAGTGAACTATGTATATCCATTGTGACTCCATCATAGTATGGGGAATAAATAATGTAATGCATTTTTATAAAGTCACTGTTTTCAATGAAATATAAACTAGTCACTCAGTTTGTTGAATGCATATTACCTAAGAAATGCTTGAAATATTAGTGTGCATAAAATACAAAACAGATTGCCATCCTGGATCTTCTGCTCATTTTTAAAAAATAGAAACTATATGTTTTATGCACTTATGTGTATAATAATAACAAAAAAGGGCCGTCAGTTTCAGAGGTGGGAAAAGGGGTCCTGCATTGGGAGGGTGGGACTTGGAAGGAGTTGAAGGGAACAAAGGGAAGTGGGAAAAGTGATATAATTAAAATGTAAAAAATAGTTACTTAGGTTATTGACACTGGTTATGAAGACTTATATGGTCATAAGTGAGCTGAGTAGTTGAAGGATTTGACCTATTATGGAGAATGATCCTGCTCTGATAATTAAAAGATACTATGTGAAAAAGAGAGTGAAGAACATCTAAAACTGTAATTACTAAAACCATGTGTAACTATTAAAAATTAGTTTAGATCGATTCATGCTGTAATAACAGTTTCAAAGATGGAAGAATATAAATTTATCCCATTAATTTTTATTATTTACAGTCTGTTGCAATATTTTGAGTATATAAGATAAACTATAACATAAAAATAGTACTTTTTTTTCACTTTAAAAATGGATTTTAAGAGAACCAAAATGACAGGTGATTTCTGTTTGTGGTCTCTATTTTACTTTTCTTGAGCAATACTGAATATGAGACATCAAAATCCGAACAATTGAACAAGCTAAAATCAAAGTAAAATGTGGTCTGACATGAGGATGTAGGTGGCACTACACATTGTATTAAGGAGTTTTGTCTTTCTGTTAGCATTGAGAATTCTTGAATCAGTTTTAGCAGATGTGGAAGTGTTACATGGTAAAACAAAATTTACTCTGGCTATGCTCTATTTTATCAACTTTATATAGTCAACGTTTTAATTTTTTTAACTGGTAAAATTTTCTTTTTTAAGTTAGTAGTAGTCAGTATGAAAATGAAGTAGCCTTACAAAATCCTATAGAAATATAATTTTTACCATGATTTTAAATTGTAAATTTCTTGCATTATTCAAAATTGTTTTACTTTGTACTTCACTGTAGATCCTTCCTGGAATTATAAGTATTCATCCTGTAGTAAGAAATTTGGCTGTTTTGTGTTTGGGATGCTGTGGACTACAGAATCAGGATTTTGCAAGTAAACACTTTATGTTATTCTTACAGGTAGGATTTATTTTGTGACAAAATCATGTATATATTTCTCGAAATGCTCTGTATCTCATGTGATATATTCATTTCTGAGTATGTTCAGATACTTATTGATGATTGTGGATTAATCTTTAGGGATTAAGTTTTTAAGTTATAGCTTATCAAAATGTCTTTAAAAATATGAACTAACACGATGAGTCATGTAGGTTCTGTGAGTGCATGCTGTGTGCTGTCGCTGTTTTGGCGTAGGATGAATACAGTAGGTAAGTGATGGAAAGAGGCAGCTCGAGTTTGTGCTGTTGGAGCTTGCATTCTTGAAGGGGAAAGAACTACTGCAAGATAGATGTGTTGTGCCAGCTAAGCAAAGCTAGAACATAGTAGCAGCAGTTACAGGAGTGAGAAGAGGGAAAGGGACTCTTTCAGTGATGGTGGCCTTAGTCGTATTTTGACATTCAGGCTGACAGAGGAAAGTTAAAAGAGTATACAAATACTTGCGCTTCTTTCTTTCTTTCTCTTTCTTTCTTTCTTTCTTTCTTTCTTTCTTTCTTTCTTTCTTTCTTTCTTTCTTTCTTTCCTTCCTCCCTCCCTCCCTCCCTCCCTCCCTCCCTCCCTCCCTCCCTCCCTCCCTTCCTTCCTTCCTTCCTTCCTTCCTTCCTTCCTTCCTGTCTTTCTCTCTGTCTCTCCCCCTCTGTCTCTCCCTCCCTCCCTTTCTGTTTGTAGGTGTTCATGAAAGCTCCAAAAGGGCATTGAGTCACCAAGAGCCGGGATTACTGATGAGCTGCCTGACATGGATGCTAGTAACTGAACTTGTTTCCTTTGCAGGAACTTCATTTGCTCTTAACTGCTGAGCCATCTCTGCAGCTCAGACATTTCAGTTTCTCAGGAAAGAGAAGAGAGGAGAGAGGTCTTAGGTTTAGGACTTTGTTTGGCCTATTTGAGGGACAGGAGGATATATGGCTAGGAAAGTAAGCAAACTAAGTCTCACAGGAGAAAGAGTTTGCAGGATGTCCGTGTGTTCTAAGAACTTATACTGAAAAACAAGATTTTCAGCCAAACTCTGATTCCAAAATGTTTTTCCACTGCAAAGACTGATTTAAGGAATAAAGTTCTAGAGGTTATGAGCTAAGTATTTTTCTTTTTTAAAGTTCGAATTTTAATTATAATCTTGAAAAGTGTTGTTTTGGTTACACTTAACACTGTCATGAGATTTAACTAAGAAAAGATACTAGTTTTATTAGGATATATATATAGAATTAAGTTGTTTTACTGAATATTTTTGGGTGGTATGTCTAATTGTAGATTTTGCAAATTGATGATGTCACAGTAAAAATAAGCGCTTTAAAGGCAATCTTTGACCAACTGATGACGTTTGGGATTGAGCCATTTAAAACTCAGAAAGTTAAGGCCATTCAGTGTGAAGATGCAGAAGTAAACAGTCATGATGAACAAGAAGCAAAAGATGATGAAGACACTGCCACAGCTAAGAATGTTCTGAAACTCCTTTCTGATTTCTTAGATAGTGAGGTAAGAAATAATTGAGCTCTATAGTCGTGAAATATCTGCAGCATGTGTTCATGTTCTTTGCTTTCATTTGTGTACTAAAGTTTCCTTTTGACACACTTTTATTTGCTTTTTAGAAATCTTAATTTAAAATTTAAATTTCACATCTATTGTAATTAAGGTTTATTATCAAATTGGTATGCAAAGAATTGAAGGTGCTTTTGTCATATTTTTAATCACAGTAACAAACGAAACTAGGATAAGATTTATTACAAATTAATTTATTTTTTCAATATTTTTTATTATATAAAACAAGTTTTAAATTTATTTTGTGCTTTCTTAATTTTCTTTTTGGATTTTCAATACCTTAGTATAGAAACTCAGCTGAGATTTTGTGTGTGTGTGTTTAACTTTACAATTTTGCTGAATTGCCTTATTAATAAGTAATTTTGGAAAGGAAGTTCTTGGAATTTTTCTTTGTGTAGAACCATGGCACTTCTGAATAGGTATGTTATTAATTCCATGCCTTTTATTTCTTATTCTGCGTCATCTTCTAGTATATCAGCTGTTATGTGGTTGAAGCAGAATCCTTGCCATCTTCCTGATTTTAGGGGAAAGCTGTGAATTTTGTTAATAAATGTGATGTTAGCTATAGGGTTTTCATAAATGCCCTTTATCATTTTGAGAGATTTACTTTCTGTTCTTATATCTCTGGCTATTTTGTGTTTTTATATTTTTCAATATTTGGGTTTTTTATTTTATATGTGTTATTTTATATGCCTTTTGTTTGCATATATGTCTGTGTGTAGGATCCCCTGGAACTGGAGTTACAGGCATTTGTGCACTGACATGTGGGTGCTGGGAATTGAACTAGGTTTTCTGGAAGAGGAGCCAGTGCGCTCAACCCCTAAGCTATCTCTCCAGCCTGTACTTTGTGTTTGTATTTCAATAAAACGTTTAATTTTGTCAAGTATTCTTTTTGCTGCAGTCAACCTGATCATGAGGGATTTTCTTCTCTTTGATATATTGACATGGTATGCAACATTACTTGATTGTTATATGCACCACCAGCTCATTTCTGTGTTAAATTCTGCATATTTTCAATTGTTTACCTCATTTCTGAATTTCGTTTTTTTTTACAATCAGATTAATTCCTCTCTTATTGTTCATTAAGATATAATTTAGGTTATTGATTTGAGATTTTTAAAAAAATAATATTTACTGCTAGAGAACTTCTATGATCACTATTCATTGTAATCCTATTAATATTTTCAAAATTTTATTTATTTTATGTGTATGAATATTCTATCTGCATGTATATACACATGCAAGAGAAGGGCATAAGATCTCAGTATAAATGGTTGTGACCCATTATGTGGTTCCTGGGACTTGAACTCAGCACCTCAGGAAGAGCAGACAGTACAGTCTTTTTTTTTTTTTTTTTTTTTAGTAGAACTTGAAATATTTTATTTTTTGAAGAATGAATCAGCCTTTATATTAGTGAACAATTATATTTAGTACTTGATTTTTATCCTGCCCTGATGTCCATTTTCCCTTTTGATACATTCCTTCCTCTCTTTTTTATTAATTTTTATTTTTTATATTAATCATAGGTTATTTATTTTGTATTCCAGCCGTAGCACTCTCCCTCATTCCCTCCCAATCTCACTCTCCTCTCCCTCATCTCCACCCTGCCCCTTTCCAAGCCCACTGCTAGAGGAGGTCTTCCTCCCCTTTCATCTGACTCTAGCTTATCAGGTATCTTCAGGATTGGCTGCCATGTCCTCTTCTGTGGCCTAGCAAGACTGTTCCTCCCTCAGGGGCCAGGTAAAGGAGCCAGTCATTGAGTTCATGTTAGAAATACTTCCTGTTCCCCTTACTAGGAAAACCCACTTGGTTACTGAGCTAACATGGGCTGCATCTGGGTTCTAGGTTATATCCATACATGGTCCTTGGTTGGATAAACAGTCTCATAGAGGGCCCCTGTGCCCTGATATATTTTGTCCTTGTGGAGCTCCTGTCCTCTTCTGGTCATATTAACTCCCCTTTTTATAGTATGATTCCCTGTACTCTGCCGAAGGTTTGGTTATGAGTCTCAGCATCTGCTTTGATACACTGCTAGGTAGAGTCTTTCAGAGGCCCTCTGTGGTAAGTTTCTGTCCTGTTACTTGTTTTCTCCTACATCCCATGTCCATCCCATTTGTCTTTCTAAGTGAGGATTGATCATCTTACTCCGGGTCCTCTTTCTCATTTATCTTCTTTAGGTGCACATATTTTAGTATGTTTATCCTATCTTAGAGGTCTGAATAAGTGAATATATAACGTGTGTGTCTTTCTGCTCCTGGGATACCTTTCTCAGGATGATCTTTTCTGGATCCTACCATTTGCCTGCAAATTTCATGATTTCCTTGTTTTTAATTGCTGAGTAGTATTCCATTGTGTAAAAGTACGACAATTTCTATACCCATTCCTCCGTTGATGGACATCAGCGTTGTTTCCAGGTTCTTGTTATTACGAATAAAGCTGCTACAAACATGATTGAGCAAATGTCCTTGTTGTGTACTTGAGCATGTTTTGGATATATGCCTAGGAGTGGATTAGCTGGATCTTGAGGAAGGGCAATTGTCTGAGAAAGCACCAGATTGACTTCCAAAGTGGTAGTACCAGTTTACATTCCCACCAGCAATGGAGGAGGGTTCCCCTTTCTCCACAACCTCTCCAGCATGTGTTACTTGAGTTTTTAACCTTTGCCATTCTGATGGGTGTAAGGTGAAATCTCAGGGTTGTTTTGATTTGCAAGTCTCTGATAGCTAAGGACACTGAGCATCTCTTTAGGTGTTTCTCTGCCATTCTATATTCCTCTACAGAGAATCCTCTGTGTAGCTTTGTACCCCATTTTTTAATTGGATTGCTTGATTTATTGCTTTTTACTTTTTTTAGTTCTTTATATATTCTGGATATCAGCCCTCTGCAGGATAATAGGGTTGTGAAGAGCCTTTCCCAATCTGTAGACTGTCATTTTGTTCTGATGACAATGTCTATTGCTTTACAGAAACTTTTTAGTTTCATGAGGTACCATTTATTGATTGTTGCTCGTTGACCCTGTGCTGTTGGTGTTCTGTTCAGGAAGTTGTCTCCTGTGCTAATGAGTTCCAGGCTTTTCCCCACTTTTTCTTCCAACTGATTTAGTGTATCTGGTTTTATGTTGAGGTCTTTGGTCCACTTGGACTTTAGTTTTGTGCAGGGTGATAAATATGGATCTATTTTCATTTTTCTGCATGTAGACATCCAGTTGGACCAGCACCATTTGTTGAAGATTCTGTCTTTTTTTCCATTGAATGGTTTTGGCTTCTCTGACAAAAATGAAGTATTCATAGATGTGTGGGTTCTTTTCTGGGTCTTCCATTCGGTTACATTGATCTACCTTTCTGCTTCTTTGCCAGTTCCGTGCAATTTTTATTACTATTGCTCTGTAATACAGCTTGAGATCAGGGATGGAGATACCTCCAGATGATCTGTGTTGTACAGGATCGTTTTGGAAATTCTGGGTTTTTTTGTTTCTCCATATGAATTTGATATTTTTTCTTTCAAGATCTGTAAAGAATTGTGTTGGTATTTAGATGGGAATTGCATTGAATCCATAGATTGCTTTTGGCAGAATGGACATTTTTACTATGTTAATCCTACCGATCCGTGAGCACGGGAGATCTTTCCATCTTTTGATATCTTCTTCAAGTTCTTTCTTCAGAGACTTGAAGTTTTTTTCAAACAGGTCTTTCACCTGCTTGGTTATAGTCACGCCAAGGTACTTTATGTTATTAGTGTCTATTGTAAAGGGTGTTGTTTCCCTGATTTCTTTCTTGGCCCTTTTGTTTTGGGTATACAGGAGGGCTTCTGATATTTTTGAGTTGATTTTGTACCCATCCACTTTACTGAAGGTGTTTATCAGCTGAAGAAGTTCTCTGGTTAAATTTTTGGGGTCACTCATGTATACTATCATATCATCTGCGAATAGTGAAACTTTGACCTCTTCCTTTCTGATTTGTATCCCCTTGAACTCCTTTACTTGTCTTATTGCTCTAGCTAGGACTTCCAAGTTCTATGTTGAAGAGATATGGAGAGAGTGGGCAGCCTTGCCTTGTCCCTGATTTGAGTGGGTTTGATGTAAGTTTCTCTCCATTGAGTATGGTGTTGGCTATAGGCTTGCTATATATTGCCTTTACTGTATGTTTAGGTATGTGCCTTGTATTCCTAATCTCTCCAAGACTTTAAACATGAATGGGTGTTGGACTCTGTCCAATGCTTTTTCAGCATTTAAGGAGATAATCATATGGTTTTTCTCCTTGTTTGTTTATATGATGGATTGCATTCATGGATTTCTGTATATTGAACCACCCCTGCATGCCTGGGGTGAAGCCTACTTGGTCATGGTGGATGATATCTTTTATGTGTTCTTGGATTCGGTTTGCAAGTATTTTGTTGAGTATTTTTGCATCAGTGTTCATTAGAGAAATAGGTCTGAAGTTCTCTGTTTTCGTTGGGTCTTTGTGTGGTTTTGGTATCAGTGACTGTGGCTTCATAGAATGAGTTTGGTAATGTTCCTTCTGTTTCTATTTTGTGGAATAGTTTGAAGAGAATTGGAATTAGCACTTCTTTGAAGGTCTGGTAGAATTCTGCGCTGAAACTGTCTGGCCCAGGGCTTTTTTGGAAGGATGACTGTTGATGACTGTTGATGACTGTTTCAATTTCCTTAGAGGATATAGGGCTATTCAATCTTTGTACCTGATCTTGACTTAATTTTGTAGATGGAATCTATCAAGAAAATTGTCCATTTCAGTTAGATTTTCAAATGTTGTGGCTTATAGGCTTTTGTAGTATGACCTAATGATTGTTTGGATTTCCGCAGTGTCTGTAGTTATGTCCCCTTTTCATTTCAGATTTTGCTGATTTGGATACTTTCTCTCTGCCTTTTAGTTTGGCTAACGGTTTGTCTATCTTGTTGATTTTCTCAAAGAACCAGCTCT